CTGTTGTAGCCGGCAATTGCAAGATATTTACATGCCAGATGTGCTAAAGGTTCATATGTCCCTTCATGCTTCAACCACCATTCCAGGGGACATGCGTCCATGCTGATGACAGGCTCTGCTTGATAACAAAGCAGTGTGGACCAACGCATGTTCATTTTCATTGTCTGAGGGCTGGTCTACACTGGGAGGGGGGATCGATCTAAGATACGCAACTTCTGCTGCGCGAATAGCGTAGCTGAAGTCGAAGTATCTAAGATTGAATTACCTGGGGTCCACACGGCGCGGAATCGACGGCCGCGGCTCCCGCGTCAAGTGCGCTACCGCCACTCGCTCTGGTAGAGTTCCAGAGTCGACAGTGAGCGCGTTCGGGGATCGATATATCTCAACTTAACGAGACGCGATATAACGATCCCGGATAAATCGATTGTTAACCGCTGATACTGTGGGTAGTGAAGACATACCCTGAGTCAGATGCCACCAGCAGAAGATTGATTTTCTTTTTTGGTGGTTTGGGTTCTGTAGTTTTTGTATTGGAGTGTTGCTCTTTTAAGACTTCTGACAGCACGCTCCACACCTCGTCCCTCTCAGATTTCGGAAGGCACTTCAGATTCTTAAACCTTAGGTCGAGTGTTGTAGCTATCCTTAGAAATCTCACATTGGTACCTTCTTTACGTTTTGTCAAATCTGTAGTGAAATTGGTAGGTCATCATCCAAAACTGTTATAACATGAAATATATGGCAGAATGTGGGTAACACAGAATAGGGGGCATACAATTCTCTCCCAAGGAGTTGAGTCACAAATTAATTAACGCATTTTTTTTTAACGAGAGTCATCAGCATGGAAGCATGTTGTCTGGAATGGTGGCCAAAGCATGAAGGAGCATACAAAAGTTTAGCATATCTGGCACGTAAATACCTTGCAATGCCGGCTACAAAAGTGTCCTGCAAATACCTGTTCTCACTTTCAGGTGTAACCAAAAAAAATCTACATTTGTAAGTTGCACTTTCACGACGAAGCGATTGCACCAGAGTACCTGTATGAGGTGAATTGAAAACTACTATTTCTTTTGTTTATCATTTTTACAGTGCAAATATTTGTAATCAAAAATAATGTACACTTTGATTTCAATTACAACACAGAATACAATATATATGAAAATGTAGAAAAACATCCAAAATATTTAATAAATTTCAATAGGCATTCTATTGTTTAACAGTGAGATTAAAACTGTGATTAATCGTGATTAATATTTTTAAGCATGATTATTTTGAGTTAATCGTGTGAGTGAACTGCGATTAATCAACAGCCCTAAGTTCAACAGACAATATCGATATTTATTCTTCATCATGTTTCAGATTTTGATTGATTTTAAATTTTCACAATTGTGTAAAATTATGGCCTTTAAACTAATTTTATCAATTTTAATTGCCCTAATTGCAGGAAAGTATGGGGGAGGGGGTGTCAGCCACTATTTATTTCATGACTGCATGTGTCGAGGTTAAAGGAGTGAACACTTTAAAACAGGAATTGTCAACATACCCGGTCAAAATAGCCAACTCAACATCCTTAAATCAAGCCTCAGTTTTCTTACTTGGCCCGTCTGCCAGTGTCAATTATTACCAAGGGAAATATGGTTTGGCGGTTGGTGTGAATACGGCGAAATTGATGTTTACCACTAAAAACCAAATCCTCCAAGCTTGTGGATGTACTAAGCGAACATACTAAGTGAACGCCGGTTCAGTAAGAGGTGTGGCAACTACAAAGAAATCGGTGCATTCGCTTAGAATAAGGGCTCTTATTGGTTATTGGCTATAAGGTTGGTCTCTCACTGACACTTGGCATGGCATAAATACATGTAGGTTTGGAAGAATTCAATTTTTTTCATCAGTCAGTGGCGGTAAACGTCGATTTCACCGTATCCCACCCCCCCCCGAACAAAACATTTCCATCAATAATCATGGAAAATTACAGCTACGGTTTGATTGACGGCTATTTACTTTGTAGATTTCAACACGTGATGTTGCCGGTTGGTGTTTAAGCGAGACGAGGCTGGGGGAGGTAAGATCTTTTACTGGCCCCATATCTGTCGGTGGAGGGGACGAGATGTTGCTCTTCACCGTGGCCTCAGAACTTTCCCATTGAAAATGGAAATGTCTCAACGCAGCAAAGGAAGGCTCCAAACAGAACAGCCACCTCGACTTCCTGAGCAATGCGAGAAACAAGCCGTGAGTGTCAGTCCCATCTGGGCCTGGAATCTCCTGGTTCCCTTCTCCAGACCAACGGAGACGCTCCAAAATGGAAATCTTCCACCAATACTAGTCGGTCCGATAAAATAGATTCCATCACCCACCTTGTCTCTCTCCCAGCCCGGGGCCACGCGGCTACAACGAGACAGTCGACACTTTGTGTTTTAGTTCTAAAGCTTTATAGTGTGAGTCCAGCAGAGCCGCGCTGTGTCTGCGTCGCGCTGAAGCCTGGAATGTCTATTGAGTCAATGGGAAGTGACACCAACAGCCCTTCCGCGGGGGTGAAGCCCCAGGGGAGTTAGGCACCGAAATCCCTTCCAGGAGCTGGGCCTTAGTGCCTCCCTCCACCCTCCGATCCCTGAGGCGCCCCCTTGAATGCCCCATTTACGGGGCCACCTCTAAGAATCCAGATCCAGCAAACCTCTGAATTTGGAGCTTAATTCCCAGATTCTCAGCTCAGCCGGGGGCGGGGAGATCACCCAGCCTGGCCTCGTGTGTCGCCCAGGCCGTGGGGCTGCCCTGAATTCATCACTGGCTGAACTAGAGCCGCCCTTGGAGCAAAACCTCCCATCTCGACGGCAGAATTGCCACCAATGGAGAACAGGGTTTCCACCTTTCTAATGGCTGGTAGCTGGACCCCCGAAGCCCCAACCCCTGCTTTGCCTCTTCCCTCGAGGCCCCGCCCTGTGCTCCGCCTCTTCCCTCAGGGCCACGCCCCCTTCTCAGCCTCTGCCCCCAGGCCTCATCCCTGCTCCACCTATTCCCCCCAAAGCCTCGCCCCTGCCCTGTCTCTTCCCCCAAAGCCCCGCCCCTGGTCCACCTCTTACCCCCCAGATAAAAAAAAACGGATATCAGGGTTGTCACATGGCACCCAGACACACAAGCCAAAACCCAGACTGTCCAGGTGAAAACCGGATGAGTGGCATCCCTGACGGAGAACCCGCCCCAGACCTGGGTAAATTGTTCCCAGGGTTAATTCCCCTCCCTGGTATAAATTCCCACCTTATTTCCAATCTGAATTTGTCGAGCTTCAACTTCCCACCCACCGGATCTTGGCCTGCTAGATTGAGGGGCTGCTCTCACCAGATTTCTGTCCCCGGGGGGGTATTTCTTGAGGGGACTGAGTCACCCCTCACCCTTCTCCGTGTGACGCTGGATAGACTGAGCGCCTGGAGTCTGACTCCGGCCTGTCTTCCCATCCCTGAGTCCTTCTCCTGGCTCTTCTCTGATCCCTCCCCAAGTGATCTCTGTGTGTCTGGAACTGGGGGGCCGCGCAGCCAGACGCAGGATTCCACCGGAGGTCGTCCCTAAATGTGGAGGGTCGGCTCTGGCCCAGATCAGACCAGCCGATCAAACTGGCCCCTTATGGCCTTGGAAATCTGTTTGTCTCGTGTCTCCTCATTGTCCCTCCGCTGTCGCGCGGGATCCCGAGCCGAGAAGCCGGCGCTAGCAGCAAGCGTGTGCAGCTGGCAGGCGTGGGGGGAGGCGCTAGGTGAGCCGCAGCTGGATGCTAGCGCTTAATAGCAGCGTATTCGCAGGTGAGGTCGGCGGCAGGTTCTGCTCTCCGGGGGGCAGGCTGCAGCTGGATGGCCGAGTAGTGGACCTCGTCCGGGTCACCCTAGGGTGAAGAATAATAATGACAATGCCCGGCTCTGACATGGAGTTTTATGTCAGCAGAGCTCAAGGCACGGCTGGGGAAACCGAATTCTTTCAAAAATAGTTCATAGTTTATAGTCCAATGTCCAAATCTCACATTCAGGGCGGTACCAGCATAACTGGGACCTCAGTCTTGTGACTCAAACTTTCCCTGAAGAAGCTTAAGCAGATCGACAGAATCAGGACTCAAGAATCTTCTATACAATCTCATGTCCCCTTGGACAAGTTGTCCAGCCCTGGTATGGGGCCGTATCCCCAGGGCTTCCTCCCTGGAGACACTATCTTCCTGGAGCCCTCCCCAGGCTCAGTCCTCACTCAGCATCACAGTGTGAGAGGGAGCCCAGGTTGGTTAGCCAGAGGGCTCAGCGGTGCCCCAGTTCCAGGTTGCACCCCAGGGAACCCGTGACAGTGGCTGGGAGTCAGGACTCCTGGGTTCTATCCTCAGCTATGGGAGGGGAGTGGGGTCTAGTGGGTTGGAGCAGTGGGGCTGGGAGTCAGGACTCCTGGGTTCTAGTCTTGGTTCTGCCCCTTTGCCCCTGGGGGATGGGGACCCTCCTCTCGCTCCGAGGGCTGAGCGGCTCCTCAGGTGCTTTGAGATCCCAGCTGGCCGGCGCTAGAACAGGACCAAGCCTCATCCCTTCCCCAGGGTCTCTCAGAGCACGGGGGTCGTGGTCCTTTGAGCTCTGACCCAGCAGCCCCATTTAGCCTGTGGCTGGGGAGTCTCTGGGGCTGGACGGGGTTAAAAGGAACAGGCACCACCACACGCACCCCGTGTAACCAGCGCTGGGGCTGAGTTTTCGCAATGTCCAGAGAAAGGGGAAGTTTCTCTGCCGCAGACAGACAACAAAGTGAAAGGCTCCTATGGGAGGAATGGTGCTTGGAGCCAGAACCACAGTCCTGCCTCTCAGCCCCCTGCTCTAACCACTAGACCCCACGCCCCTCCCCCAGCTGGGGATAAAAACCAGAAGTCCTGATTCTCACTCACTGTAACCACTAGACCTTATTGCTACCAAACCAGCAAGTATGTTGCCTTTAAAGGCTAGGAACACACTATCTCGGTTCCCTTTCCTCCCCTGAGCCACCAGCCACTCACAGCGCCTGGGGCTATTGCCTCAGATGTAGATGAATCTGATTACATGTTACCGGCCCCCAACCTCCCTGCTCTCCCACTAGTGTCAGCGGTGGGATCAGACCGGAGTCCCAGCTGCTAACCCAGGGCCAGGGCCCAGGTAAGAGCCGCTTTTCCTTGTTTTGGGGCAAAAAGCCAGATTTGGGGAGAATGATTCTTCGCATCTCTAAATCACTGAAAGGAGATTAAACGGTGAGAGTTTCTTATGGGATGGGCCCCAGCTGAGATCATGGCCCCATTGTGCCAGGCGCTGTCCAGACACAGCCAGAGACAGTCCCTGCCCCAAAGAAATTACATTTAAAATAGACAATAGGAGGGAGAGAAAACTGAGGCACAGAGGAGCAGTGACTGACCCGCTATTGTATGGTGGGTCCATGACAGATCTAGGAGTAGAACCCGGGGGCTCTGTGTCCCACTGCTGTGCTCTAGCCACTGGGCCCCACTGTCACACCGTAACTGGGGGTAGCATTGAAAATACACCGGGGGCTTCCCACACACGGCGTGAGAGCCAGTCTCCACCCGACGGGCTCATGGTGTAAGATATGGGGACTGAACTTGGCAGGGCAACGTTACCCTGTGCTGTTAAACAGCTGCTGTGCCCGACCCCAGAGCAGGCTGCATTTCACTGTTCGTGAAGGTGTCACTGAAGGTGTCTGAGATCATTTGCGGGAGACCACGCAGGACTGATCAACTGTTCCCAGAGGGAGCATCGTGCTTGGGATAGACTGGGGGCTGGGAACCAGGACTCCTGGGTTTTATCTCAGCTCTGGGAGCAGGGTGGGGGCTAGTGGGTTAAAGGAGGGGAAGCTGGGAGCCTGGAGTCCTGGGTTCTAGTCCCAGCTCTGCAAAGGAAAATTTATTTTCAGACACACCCAGGCCCCCAGACCCTTGCTGGCCAGTTGTCCCATTACCCAGAACGAACGTTCTCAGAGCGGTCGGGTAACATCAGACACTGGCTCTGCCCAGGCTGTGGTCACAGAGACGCCCCGATAAACAATCCAGCTGTCGGAGAGGAAGCAGCACAGGAAGCGCTATGGGGGGCGGAGCTGCAGGATAGGCCGGAGGGGGGCTCAGTATGGGTCTCTCCCCTCGCAGTCAGGGCTGATCTCTGCTTCTGGGACTTTGCTATTCCCAGCTGAGACACTGAACCCCGACCCTTGTGCCTGTGATACCCTTCCCCCACATGGCTCTATCCCCCTGGGGTCCCTGCCACACCCCAAAGTGATTTGTTCCATTGCAGTTCCCTGACTTTCCCTGCATATGTCAGCTCCACATAGGAACTCTCCTCTGGTCCCGCCCTGAACCTGCCCTCTGCATTGCTGTGAGCTGTCAAACAGCCGTGCGCCCCTCCCCAGAGGTGGCCGCATTTCACGCCTGAAGCCGTGAGCCCTGCACACATGGCCCGCAAAGCACACGGGGATAAAAATGCTACCAATCCTTCCTCTGTCGGGCCAATCTCTGGGCTTTACTCCCCTCTGGTTAAGAAATTCTTTTACAAAGGGCCCTACATATAAAATATCTGGTCATGCAGCCAATCCCGCGGCCGGACGCCATCGCCCGGCGCAGACGAGCTGTCACCCAGAAATGCTGCAGGTGACTCATTCCCGGCCCCTTTCCCCTCCCAGGCCGGCTGAGCGCTCTGCCCTGGATGGAGATGGCCTTGGTGCTGGTCCCTGCCTTTTGCCTTCTGAGCGGTGAGTAATTCACACAGACGCGACGCGCTGCCGCCCAGGGGACCGGTGGGGACCGTTTCCCAGCCCTGGGAGTGCGTCTACACTGCCAGGAGGGGGCTCGGAACCGGGTTCCATCGCAGGGACGTCCCAGCCACTAACGCCAGCGGCTCCAGTTCAAGCCTAGGGGGCGTCTGGCCTTGAACCTGACCCCGAGCGGCCGGGTCCTCGCTGCTGGTTTCCCCCCGGAGGAGAACACGCCTGGTTCTCAGGGCAGAGTCAGCCTGGTCTAGACCCGGCCACCCTGGGCTGAGCAGCAAGGGCCTCAGCCGCTCTTGTCCCCCAGGCTGCCATTTTCCCTGCGCCATGTCCTGCCTCCGGGCCTCTCGCTGCCCTGGCGAGTCGGGGCGTCTCCTGGGCTGGCCTGGAGAGCTCTGCTCCCTGCCCTGCCCGTCCACCCAACTCCGGCCCAGCTGGCCCCTCCCCGCGTCCGCACCCGGCTCCTTGATCACGGGAAGCACCTGACCTAGAGCTGCAAACCCTCCAGGATTGTCCTGGATATAAACTGGCCGTGGGGAAGTTCAGGCTTGAAATTAGACGAAGGTTTCTGACCGTTAGAGGGGTGAAATATTGGAACGGCCTTCCGAGGGAAACGGTGGGGGCGAGGGAATTGTCTGGCTTTAAGATTAAGTTAGATAAGTTTATGGAGGGAATGGTTTAATGGTAAAACATAGTTGTCAAGGAAAACCAAGCAATGCTAGGTAAATAGCATAATGACTAAAAGGGGTCAGGATGGAGACTCTTGCCTATATGCTCGGGGTCTTACTGATCGCCATATTTGGGGTCGGGAAGGAATTTTCCTCCAGGGCAGATTGGCTGAGCCTCTGGAGGTTTTTCGCCTTCCTCCGCACCATGGGGCAGGGATCTCTAGCAGGAGGGTCTCTGCCGATTGAGGTCACTAATAACAGGATTGGGGACTTTAGCAGCAGAGTCCAGGGAAGGGGCGGGGACGGTTTTATGGCCTGCAGCGTGCAGGGGGTCAGACCAGATGATCATAATGGTCCCTTCTGACCTTAAAGTCTATGAATCTATGAATCTATGACTTAAAGATTAATCTGTAATTAAAGATTGTCATGTGATTAAACCTCCAGGAATTTGTCCAACCAAAGTTGGCAACTCTAACCTGACCTCTCGCCAGTGGGGCTTAGGGTGACTAGACGTCCCGATTTTATCGGGACAGTCCCGATATTTCCTTCTTTGTCCCGCGTCCCGACCGATGTTCGGTCG